TGAATATCGTTGGAGCCTCTTTGGCTAGTATGTTTTATATTTTTCATTGGATTTTCAGGTCTCTTGCGTTGTGACGAGATCGTGAATATTACTAGAAGAGATGTATGCATCAAGGCTGATCACATGACTGTCTTTTGTTTGAAACGAAAGAACGATCAATACTCCAAGGGTCATACGGCAGTCATTGATAGGTCTGGTAAGATTACCTGTCCCGTTGCCATAACTGAAAAGTTGTTGAACAAGTTGCCTGTTTGTCCTAATCAGTCATTAGTTTGTAGATTGAAATCAAATGGATCCGCTATGCAGCAGTCTATCAGTTATTCCAGAGTGAGGGAAATATTCCTAGAGACAATGTCAGAGTTTGTTGAGGATTCTAAACTGTACGGTACCCATAGTTTAGACAGGTTCGCTGGCTGGAAGTCAGCTCGTTCTAAGTTTATCTATATTAGTGACTCGGATGAGAAATTAAGAGTGTCTAAGGCGATTAATCTTTAAGTTTGTAATTTTGCATGCATTTGTGGTGTGTGCGTTTGTTCTTTTCTTTCTCCTCTCTTTTTTCAGCGGTTCTCGGCTTTGGAGATTCTCGTGGGTTGTCTGTCCAGCAGGCGCTAAGGCAAAGTCATACTCCAAAAAGTGTGGTTGCGTGGTTTATTGCGTAGAATAGGAATGAATTAATGCTTTCCAACGTAACAGCGTGAGTTGGAAAGCGTATCCATTACGGTTCAAAGCACTTAGTCACATTTAGTGAAATATTTCATGGATTGTATTGTAAATAGAACAATATATGAATTAACGATAACTTATAAAAGATTGATGAAAATATGTTTGTTCACTCTCGCTTGTTGGACGCGTACAACGCGCCAGATATTCGTGTAACCGAACTTAACCGGATTTAGGGTTGTCAAGTAATATTAGTTAGTATTCTAAGCTGTTTAGCATTATATATGTATGTATATATATTGGTGTTAGGTTTTCGTATTCTTATCTCGTGCTTTAGCCCTCGAAGCATTGCGTTCGCATCGGACGAGGACTACGTTTTCAGAGGTTTCTCCTCCGGGTTTTTTATCTCTGTTTTTTCGTAGCGGGCAACGCAAAAGATGATTGTAAATAGTATTTTTTTCAGTTTAAGGATAAATAAGTGGAAGGATTGTTGAATAATGAAATAAAATCTGTGTTGTCTGTCCAGCAGGCGCCAAGGCAAAGTCATACTCCAAAAAGTGTGGTTGCGTGGTTTATTGCGTAGAATAGGAATGAATAAATCGTCCTCTTTTCATGCAAGAATATATCTCTGTTTAAAAGTCTTCATATTAGCTTTATAAGTACTCGATAAACCATGTATGATAATGATAGCGATACCGAAATCAATCTCAGCGATAGTTATGTCACACTACTAAGTGACACGGTTAAGGAAAGTCGCTCTTTCCGCTTTCACAATTTTATTTGTGATCTGTGCAGTGTTTTTCAGTTTTATGCACATCAGTTCTAAAGTAGTTTTATTTATTTGTTTATACCAAAGGACTAGGGAAATGGTCTAATAAATGGAGCACAATCACTTATAGAATGGCTTTGGCTGTTTACTGTAGAAGTCCATCAGCTTTTCAAGCACTCTCAAGCTTTAACATTCTTCAACTACCTTCAACAGAGTCCTTGAAGCAATATCTATCTGCATTCTATATATCATTCTTGGGGCCCAACTGGGACAATCTTCAAGAATGTTCAAATGATTATGAAAAACTTAAAGAAGAAAGATTCAGTAAAAAACTCGATGAACCAGGAATTGGCGTACTTATCGGGGATGAAGTTAAAGTAGTGACAAAAATTCAATGGAATTCAAAAAACAATGAGTATGTGCTATTATAATCACAACACAACTTAACACTTCAAGCAAAAAAAAAAACCCTTTCACTGGCAATAAAATATTTTTTGTTTAAAATCCAATATGGCGGCGCTAGCGAAGGGAGAACTCGTTTCTTGTTTACAAAGTGCTTTAGAAAGCGGAAAACACAAGTTTTTCGAAAAAACAGAGAATATTTATCATCTGGATGACATATCAAAAAGACAGTCAAAGAAATGAAAAGCGCTGTGATTGGTCGAAAACCATGTTTGATTACAGTATCAAAATAGTTAGGCGGATGAGGCAATTGTTCACTTTCAGGTTAAAATGATGCCACTCTGTAGGAATATGTCTTTCAATACTAGGAATTGATTCTGATATTGTGCCAACGCAAAAATCGATGCAGTCGGCAATTACGGGGATTTTTCAAAATGGCGGCCATTTTGAACCGGAAGTGAAATTTCAAATGGTAATAAATCAATCACAATACAAGTTTAAATAGTTATACCTAGTCGGTTGGTGAGTTTTAATGAATGAGTTGCCGGTTCCCAGGCTCCCTCCGATTATCCCAATGAACGCAAAGCCGTCTGGGATTGCAAGGGCGCAAACAAACCCGCGAAATTTGTTTAAATTATTACATCTTTGTGTTGCTTTTTGGTCTGTGTTAGTAAGGTGTATATTCAAAGATTTAAAGAAACGTCTTGAATCATGGGTGGTGGCGATCATTGTGCAGTTTTTGGATGTGACAATGATCGTCGCTACCCAGAGAGGCAGATGAAACTCGAACATGTTGGAGTCTTACGTTTTCATTCACCAAAAAACAAAAAAGAAATGGCTGCCTGGGAACGGAATATTAACCGAAGTAACTTTAAAGTAAAATCATCCACTAAAGTGTGCTCAAATCACTTCGTCGCTGGATACAAATCTGATCTTTGCTGGAAACCGACACTCTACATGAAAGGTTATCCAGATGACAACAACAAGAAGACAAKGCATTCGCCAAAACGCAGAACAACAACAAACAAACTCCAAACTTCAAACCAGGAGGAATCAGAGGTCGAGGGAGAACCACCAGCAAAAAAGCAAGTAACAAGYGTCGATTACGACTTGGATTGTAACGAAGCGACTATGAMAGAGGAAACTGAATTTTCAGTCCAACAAGATGACTCATACGAACCATCCTACATAGATTGTGATTGTCAGGGAAGCAGCATCAACGAACTGAAAAGGAATCTTTTCATTGAACAGGCTACAAATAGTGACAATTGTTATAGATATACAGGCTTGTCATTACCAAAGTTAAATCTTGTTTTTCATCATATCAAAGATTCGGCCAGTGGGATGAGATACTGGAAGGGTTCAATTGACAGTACGTCCAAAAGGAGAAACAAACGAGGCCTGAAAAGGCTACTGCCATTGTGGGACGAGTTTGTCCTTACAATGGTTAGATTAAGAAAAAMWTTTGACATACGATTTCTTGCTGACACATTTGGAATTTCTAGTGGTCAGGTGTCAAGAATTTACAATACATGGGTGATGTTGTTAGCAGAGGAGCTGTCATTCTTAGTGCCTTTTCCCAGCAGTGACGACATCAGAAAATCTATGCCTAAGCAATTCAAGAAACACCCCAATTTAAGAATAATCATTGATTGTGTCGAGCTCTATATACAGAAGCCCAAACTACCCTCAAGCCAAAAAATAACCTGGAGTAATYACAAACACAGAAATACCGTAAAACTACTTGTTGGCATTACACCAAATGGTGTAATATCATATATCCCCCCTTCTTGGACTGGCATGGTTTCTGGAAATAGCAAGAGCCACAGGGTTAATTGATCATTTAGAAGAAGGGGACGGTGTAATGGCTGATAGAGGCTTTATCATCAGAGACATTCTCGCTTTCAAGAAAGTAAACCTCATATCTCCAGCTTTTTGTCATGGCAAAAGATTGTCAGCTAGAGGTACCACCCACACYCGGCGTGTTGCATCATTGAGATCCCATGTGGAAAGGTATATTTTGAAACTAAAACAGTTTAGAATACTCTCGGGAGTAATTCCACTTCTTTTGAAGCCAATGTTGGACAGAATAATTTTTGTTTGTGCTGCATTGGCAAACTTAGACACAAAACCAATAGAGTAGACATTGCAAGTACTAAGTGAGTGCAACATAAAGTATGTTTTGTTYCACTAAGACTGTTCCAGTTGARTGATAGTGACTAATAGTAATAAMTTTTTATGGACATAGTATAAGCACYCTTAGAATTTAAGTGGCTATTACATTTTAGTATTTGCACTCTACTCTATTGGTTTTGTGTCTAAGTGTCTAGTATATACACTCTAAGAATTTAATTGACTATTGCATTTAGTATTTGCACTCTACTCTTGAAAATAAATCTGTAAAATAGCTGGTAGACTAATAGAAACTGTTAAATCCTATTTCTATTGTTTCCTTTTGTCTATATCCTACTGTTGCTTACTGACTATTATATTTTGATACACAGATTAATAATTGAAACCACTCTATTTAGATCTTAGGTTTTCACATATTATGATGAAACTATAAACAATGCAGTACCCACCACTAGTAATGCCTAGCTTTTGCAWTAAGATGAGGATTAAAAGGAGTCTAYGTGATAAGATATGTATATGCATATAACAAAACTATATTTCCTAAAGGTAAAAACAGAACATACTTTTAATGAAATACTTRATGCAAACATTGACATAAGTAAATGCTAACTTGAAAAAACTTTTAAGTGTATATGCACAACCACTTTATGGTTTGTTGTATTATAGCAACATTTTTMTTGCACATCCTAATATATTATAGAAGTAATTGTTCAACTATGTTTATCTATATACATTTTAATTAGCTCATAAGTAGTGGAAATTGCATTTGATACATCTACACGATGTAAGCCTTTGTTGAGGCTTGGAAAAATTGCAAATAACTCCCCAAGAATTTCGTCCAATATATCACTTTCATTTCTATCATCATCATCATCATTAACAGTTTTCTTCARAATTTTTATAACATTGTTAGTAACTCTTCTCATGGATACATCTTGCTTGTCTCCACATCCATTGGAAATAAATTTTTCTAATGACTTTCTTGTGTCCTTTCTATTCAAAAAGTGAATCAAGTTTGAGAGGTCAAGTTTATGGTTGCCACTGTTTTTGCTTTCAGTAATAGAACATTGTTCATTATAATCATTCTCCTCTTCACTGTCAGTCAAATCTAAGTCAACACTTGAAATTTCCTGAAGTTCATTATAATCATTGCTTTCTATAGAAGATTCCATGTCCGCAAAATTTAATATATTTGAGTCAGGCAAATCTAAGTCATCACTTGCAATTTCTTGAGGCTCATTATAATTATCATTTTCTATAGAAGATTCCATTACCTCAGGATTTGAGATATATGTAGTATTGGCAGCTGATAGTTGCAACAATAAAGCAGGTATTATTTTATTAGTATAAAATAAAGAGACTTTAGAAATAACATTATCCCAAAATAGTTTGTTGAAGTCAATTTCCACAACATGTATACCTTTTTTGGTATATACAACAAAATCACAAGATGGCAGTCCTGTGATTGCCATCTGTGTTTGGACTTGATAATAGTATTGATGTGTTTTCTTTAATCCAGGAATTCCATCACTGTATGTTCCACCTACATTGTCTAAGAGAAAAGCTTCCTTTGGGTCAAGGTCAGCACCTTTGAAGGGACATTTAATTTCAATGACTCTTGACTGACAACATTTACAGTGCCTGATACCATCAGGACTTGCACCAAGCCAGGCTTGATGGAGACTAACAATAAGTCCAGTCTCCTCCAACTCCAATCCATGATGAATTTTTTTTAAGATTTCTTTAYATCTTTGTTTAGCTTTTCCTTCATTATCAATACCATACTGCATTGKTTCAGGGTTTTTTTGAAAAGTGGAAGGCTTTGATAAGACGTTTTCTATAGTTAAAGAAACATCTGTTTCTGTTTTTTTTTTCAAGAGTTTCCTGTCTTGTATAGATATTTTTTATTGTTGATGCAGTGACCATCAAATGCCTCATATCTCTCCATGTTTCATTGTCTCTTTGGCCAACTGTACATTGGTTGATAACATGTCTTTCATGCTCTTTTAGAGACAGTTCTTCACAGAACAATTTAGCCTCTTTTCTTGCATTTTGAAAATCAATATTCTTTTGTTCTGTAAAGTTTACAGCCCTTTCAAAGATGGACTTCGGAYAAAGGAATTTTTCATCATCTTTGTTATTTTCCAGTTTATTGGTACACTCTGGCAGGAATTTAAGAAGTGGTGCATCAGGGTCTATTTCTAAAAGTTTTTCAGCAAATGTTTTCTGAACAGAAAGAGGAGTGTCATGTCTACATTTTTTTGGCCTTGGGTCAAAAGAGTCAACCCAAGATTCATCATATGGGGTGACTTTCCGTTTCCCTTGTTTAGGCCGAGAATGGGACATTTTCATCTCCTTGAAAGGCATAGGCTTATGGTTTGGGGTGGGTTTAGGGTCCCAATATGCTGGGACAGATGTACATGACGTCCTGTTACTGGATAGGAAATCATCTAGTTCATACAGAGCAGCTCCAAGATGTCTGCAACCCTGGTCGGCCCCTCCTTTACATCTGCAAAATGCAGAATACACTGATCCATTAGGTTTAAGAATGAACCATAAMCTATAATATTTTGTGCCTTCTTGCGTTTTTTCTTTCTGTGTTGGAATAACGTCACCTACAACAACAAAAAACACTGATCCATCATTATCTTTAACAGTCTTATGACCCATTGATCTTACATATCCATCTTGAAAGAGAGTATATTCATCAAAGGATCTAAATGATGCTAACTKTTCCTTATCATATTCAGCATTACTTAAAATAAGATGATTGAAAATATCCATCAATCCAAAAGGAGGAAGTTTTGAGAAGTCATTGGAAAGATTTTTCATTTCAAAAGGATCACTAACAACTTTGCCTCCTGGCAATGTTAATCTACTATTCAAGCATTGACTTATTGAATCCTTTGCAAAGTCTGGGTCTTGATCAAGATTCATAGTATTAATAGCTTTGGCAAGAATTATAAGGTCTGGTTTATTATAACCAGAAACTGTTACTCCTCTGCTCTGGATATACTCTTTSAATTCTTTGATGTTCATTTGTTCAAAA